GGGGAAGGTCCTTAAAAAGCTGGACTGACACAGAGACTGTAATAATGGCCTCACCCAATCAGAGATCGAGAGGGTGGTGTGAGATAGGACAAGGTTCAGATCTCTTGTTCATAGGGTCATTACGAGCTGTAGTTGACTCAATGGTACCTAATAACAACAATAACAATGAACAAATTTACTTCCAAAAATTCAATCCTTCTAATGTGGAGGACAGTTATACTCTAACACACACGCGGTGTGGGGGGTAGAGGATGAGTCAGAATCAAATCCTTGGAAAATGATCATGGTGCTAAGAGTTTGTCTTGGTCAGAGATTGTAATGACAGCAGTATCGGTAAGAAGGAAGAGTGAATAAACACTTAGGATATCTCTGGCACTCAAGCTTGAAGGAAAAGGGAAGAAACTTATGAGTATTTTTCGAAGTACAGCAAAGACTAAGGCAGCAAATGAGATCTTAAACAGTAAGAGCTTCTATACAAATAGAGGCACAAAGAAAAAGAGTAAGTAGGAAAGGAATCGTAGACAGCAAAATGAAAAAAAGGGTTCCTTCCTTACCGCCCCAGCTTTTTTTCTGGTGGTTCCCAGGCAACAGAATCCAACATCATGACCTTGAAAAGCAGCCGCATATTCATCCAGTTTTTCAAAGTCCACAACTTCTTGGTTCTATACAACAATAATAGGGTGGAATATAAATGGATACTCTTCAAAAATAGGAAAACCATTCATCTCCTTTTACAGAGAAAATTACAGAGTGACAAACTTTTACTCATGTTGAGTATTTTATTGTAGATTGAAAGACAGTTTATTTACAGAACAAATTAATTTGCCTTTCAACAATTTGTGCACAAGGGAACCCTGGTGGCCTACTGGCAAGAAGCTGTACTGCAATAGGTATGATGTAATCCACCACATGCTTTGCTGGAAAAGGAGGGGCACTCTCCTCCTGTACCAGTCAGATCCGATTTGATGTTGTTGTTATGTGCTGTGGAGTTGCTTGTGACTCATAGCAACCCTATGTACAACAGCCCTAAACCCTGCTCTATCCTGTGTTAATTGCACTGCCTCTGACACACCCATCCCAATTACCCCAGTCACGGAATCAATCCACCTCCGTCACTCCATCCCTCCACCCTCCCAAGCATGATGTCCCTCTTCAAGGACCTCTCCCTCCTTACACCATGTCCAAAGTATGTCAGA